CACACACACACACTTATTTAGTTAAGTGCATGCATTTGGAGTCTGGTAAAAGTGACTCACAAGCGCCGGTGGAAAGTTCGAGGAAAAAAAAAAAGAAATTAAAAATCGGCCCAGTCAGCAATTTCAGTGATCAATCAAAAAGAGGAATGGCTATCACAAAAGGATGCATGGACAATTTTCAGGGACCCTGGCATGAAATTGAACAGGAAGTCCCACGTTTTGCTTTGAAGCGGCCAGTTTGGGTGAATTCCAGAGCTCCCCCAAGGGAACTCTGGAATTAGGTTCTACTTTGTCGATGTTCGCTAACTTGAATGAGCAGTCTCATTGTTGATTCAGCAGGTTCGCGACATTCATCGGGATCGGTTTCCTGACTTCAAATATTCACGGGTCACACGGCGGACGAGATGATGTGATCGTATTGATTTAGTGACTCGAGTGGACGGATTCTGATGATTTAGTTGCATGGGTTCACCGGCTCCAATTGGCGACCGACTCACTTTACTGAGAGACTCAAATGTAACAGCTCTGCAATGTTGCCTGCACTCTTCCTCCCACCCACCACTTTTCTGTGGCTCCTACCGGACCCTCGCAGCCCCCTTCCCCTTCTGTGACGGACTCCCCTGCCTGCCTTCTTCTGCTGCTCCATCTTTTTCTCATCTCCGCTCTCGTCTGAGTCTCCCACGTCCTCCTCGGTCTCATGCTGGTGACTCATCTTGTTTGCCACATGGAAACATTTTTACTGTGTGGATGTGAGACCGACGCATTAAACAAGTCCCAAGCAGACAAGCGGAAACACACGCGGACCGATGAGCGGGATCTTTTTCAGCATGTTTAAAATCAATGTTTTCAAAATCTTTTTCTGGGGCTGTACATTCTTTTAGTCGTTTTAGCAAGCTACTTTTTAGGTCTTTACTTTCACATTTCTTTCAACTCTTTTGTTTGCAAATGCTCTGCTTTTAATTATGTGAAAGGCAGTGCCTGAAATGCGCTTTCTAAATAAACCTGCCTTGCCATGCAGGACTTTCACAAGTGTTGTTCTAATGTTTGAGTGTATTTCTTTATAATATCTTTGTGGGTTTTTTTTTCTTTCATTGTAGTTTTCGAAATATATATCGCCCAGGTTGACGGCGTCTCCTCGCGTTCCTCAAGCAGCGACTTTTGGTGCAATTCTCCCGGGACAACACCGCGCCGATAATTGCACAGGAGCGCCCTCTGCTGTTTTCCATTTGACATACAAGAGTGTGGACTCCGGGCCATGCTATCAAGTGGAGGTCATCCTTTTTTATTAAATAAGTGAGGTCACCACTATCTAGCGGTCTCTATTTCCAGGACACTGACTCTTTCAATCAAACGAATAAGCACAAAATAACACTTGGTAGTTGACGTCTTTTGAGATTCAACTTCCTATGTAAATATAATTGTTTAAAGACGCCCCCCCCCCTAATTTTGTCGTTATTTTTTTTTCAACTGACGGTTCATTATTGGTACTGGGATTCATGTGTTTCTAAAACTACTTCTGAACATTTTTTAACGTAACATTTTTGTCTTGATGCAATTTTTATATTTCCAAATATAAAATACATGTAATATTTTCCACCTAGTTTTTTTTTTCTCAACATTACAATTGTTAGTCGAAAAAATATGTACAGATAAATACAGACGGTTTGTTGTATTTATAAAGATGCATTATAAGATTTTTTTTTCACATTTTTGTTGTAATATCATTGAACATTTTTGTTAGAATTATATAGGGTTTTTTTATTCATAGTTTCTCTTGTAATAATTTGGTAATTTTCACCAATACTCTGGCAACATTTGTCTCCTACTTTGTATTATAATATTTTGGTCATTTTTTGTAGCAGAGTTTTGGTTCATTTTCAGACTTGTTGGCACAGACCAAAGGCCTATCAATTTACTGCATTCATATATTTATTCATGTTTTTATTTATTGAGAGCATTTTTATTCTTTCGAACCCTGACCTCAATTCCAGCAACAGCTTTTTGGTGTAGCGACATTGAAGCCATTTCCGAACCCCGGTTTTGCCACTCACGCCGACCAACCTTCCCCTCCCACTGCGAGGAAATCCAAGGAAGTTATTGTGGACGCAGCAAGAGGCATGTCTTCATTTCAAAACAAACATTCCCAACATTGCCTCGATGGATTTTAATCATCATCATAACGTGTCAATTTGTTTGGGTGCATCGGGTTACTCAGTGGCGATATAAACAGCTCCCGCCAGCCGGACCCCAAGTCGGCTTGTCTTTCAGACGACCTCGCCGATTGCACCCTCGCATTAAAACGTTTTAAAATGTCCCAAAAGTAACTTTGGCGTCACGCGTGGACGCTTGGCGTGGTTGGCGATCGACAACAACCTTTCAATTTGCACCAAAACACGTCGAATGCGTTTAACGCGCGTACCTCTGTCGCTGCAAGCGGCTCTTTCTCTTCCTTCAGCCCCAAAACAGGCCATGAGTGACGCAATGAGTTTGATGTCACTTCAACGAACGGTCAACGAACGGCAAGGCACCACATGACGTTTCAGTTTGATGTCGCCACGTTTGACAGTTGGCACGTGGTTGCCCAATGGTCAACAATCTCGATAGCTTTCCGGAGCGTCATCCACTTCAACGGGTGACAGGTGCGCATTGGGTCGCGTGGTATGTACCTGCACCATTTTACGATAACTGGCTGGGCGTTCTTCCCAGTCCTCTTCGCACGTTGACCATGAGGCGGCACGGTGCAGTAACGTGTGCACAATGTGACTTGACATCTAGATAGCAGCTACAGTACGTGACTTTTATGTTCCACAATCTGGATACTAAAAATGGGGGGTGAGTACGGAGCCCCAGACATATTTGAAAAAAAAAATATTTTTGTAGTTCGTGCGTACATAGTTACAGTGTGTGTACAAATACGTTTTTCAAATGTTGCTACGTCATGTCTGGGGCTCCGTAGATGAGGTATTTTCAAATGTGTAAGCTTATGTAAAATTATTATTTTCATTTTATATTTGAGCATTATATTACTTTATGTTATAGTTACCTAAATTATATTGTTTAATAATTGTTGAAACATTTTTATGTTGCTTGCGTCTGATTGGCTGAAGACAAACAGGAAGTGTTTTCGTTACCGGAAGGAGGTGTGTTCGTTCGGGAGTTGCGCAGCAGACGTTGGAAAATAAAAGGCTGCGTTCAAAGGATTCCATCTCTCCTTTTGCCCATTCTTAAAGTATAGCTATCCACTTAAAACCCACAAACCCCTCAACTTACAAATGTAAAACAAAAAATACTTCCAACTCGTGTTTTTCTTTAACCATTTTTGTTCTCTATTTTGATATCTGACTTCCCTTACAGGTTCAAAAAATACATACAAAAAACAGCCAGGTAAAAGTTCAGCATCCTCAAATCATCCGGTCCGATATGTTTATCCGCTCATGGGCACGTGTTGCAAGAAAGCAAATTTAGTCCTGGCAGACATCTTCCAAGGCCAGCAGGGAGTCGGGTAACTTCTCACGCTCACACTGCTGCTGGCATGTGCGCCGTCAAGAAGGCCCGTGGTGCTTGTTCAACACATGGCCTCGCAGGCATGGGCCAATACACACGAGTCCGTACATGCGCACATAAACATACGACTATGTATAGATAAAAAGCACTTTCCAAATGTCAAAAGATACACTGGGAGAAATGGGAAGAAGGGCAGCACAAGTTTCGTGGGACATCAAAACACCCTCTTGCAAAGTTAGGAAGAAAAGTACCGCTGACAACAGTTTTGCCGAGCGAAAATTATATATATATATATAAATATATATAGAAAGAGAGAGAGAGAGAGAGAGAGAGAGAGAGAGAGAGAGAGAGAGAGAGAGAGAGAGAGTTATATATCGATATATATTTCTGGGGAAACAGAGTTGTCTCAGAATTCCATCACCAAACTGAAAGCGCCATCACCACATTTTAAAATGGTCAATTCACTGAGGAAAATGTGCACACTCGGGCTCACAAGACTCCAGCTAAACACCACACAGATAATGTAAAGTACTGTCGCAAGAGATGGAGCAAGGACATTGATGGTACACATAAACAGAAATCATAATCACACCACAGCGTTTTGGGGTTTTTATCATAAAAAGATGCACGCACGGTGGTGAGTCGACAGAAGTCTAAGAAGAAACGGTTGAGAGGGTTTGTTGCGGTTTATCAGTTCTCCAGGAAAGCCACGTAGTCGGTGAGTCTGGCCAACTGCTGCTCGTTGGGAACCGACGAAACAGGGGGAGGATCTGCGCAGACAAAAAAACGAGGATGGTGAGCTGAGGTGGGGGCGACGTTCATTGAGTCATCCGCCTTTTACATCTCTCCCGATTTTAACTCGCCACTACGGCCTGCCACGTGTTTCAACTCGGGTGTCAACATCCGCAAATGATCTCACGGCACCCGTGTCTCGTTCTCGCCACGGAGGTGACTGGGTTGACTCGAAAGAGTAGCGGGGCGTCGCTTTAGGTTAACCCAAACAGACAGATTTTTTTTTTTCTCAAGTGATTTAGTTGATCGCTGAAGACGAGGCCATAGCGGCGGCGCGGTGCGGGGACGGTGGGGGAAGGAGCCCGTTGAACATGTGCGCAGCAGATGTTCCTCATTGGTTCACAGAAATGAAGACATGTGACAATACGTCTTTAAAAAAATAAATTGTCTAGCAGAGGGCAAAGTGCAGCTTGGCCTTCCTTTTGTTGCTCACGAGTGCTTTACATGTTCTTGTATCGCGTCGGTAATTTGGTCACATTCCTGATCATTCACACTAATGTCTCAACTTTTGCCATTTTTCTTCACTTACTATCACCACACTTCTGGCGTCGGGGAAAAAAAGCAGCGGAAGCTTGGCTGTGAAAATGCAGCTTAAAACTCGCAAGTGCACCACCTACCTGGCTTTTTAGGCATCACCATCCTGGTGGCGGGGTCCGCCTGCCAGCCCTGGCTCACCACACCTTCAGTCAAGACAAAAAAATGTTTTCGCAACTCCCCAAATGCATCATTCGTCTCACGCGCAGCGCTCGTTGTCGCCGCTTACCTTTGACGGCCTCTTCCACCGAGTAGCCCACAAAGGCGGCGAAATCTTCAACGGTGATGGAAGTGTACGCCTGCGCCACGAGGCCGTGGGCCCTTTGTCGCGTGCTCTCTGCAAAGCAAAAGGAAGAGCGATGACATCGGCGGACCAAAGTGTCGGTCAACCCCATTCGTAAATTGTCGATCTAATGAAAAGGCAAAATGAAATTGTGACAGTATAATTGTATTTGGCGACAAAACAAGTATGGACACCGTTATTTCCATTCCATTGGAACATCTTTTAGACATCATGCTGTGTTTTAATATCTTAATATTATCTTTTTTTTTTTAAATTCCAGCGTCAGTGGCGGTGTTATGGCTCCACGTTTTTTTTACGGATGGAGGCTGCCCATAATTTTTCATTCGTGCTATTAGCGACCACAGAGGAAATATGCCATTTTAAATGAGGACGAAATATGTGCTACGATACAAAGAGAAAAAAAAATATTAGTGTATGTATTTATTTATTTATTGCTATTATTTTAATGAGGAGAGTTTGGGCCACATAGGGCCCGTAGGCCGCCATTTGAGCACCCCCAGGGTAGAGCATCTCAAATGTCAAAAGTGCCCAGTGTTATTTCCCCTCCCCAGCCTGCCGTTGTTTGGGAAGATAAGAGTCAAGTGCGAAGGGGGCCACGAGGCAAAATGCGCTCGGTGCCTCCAGCAGCTCTCACCCGAATGCCTCGGGGGGGGGGGGGGTTGCGGCCCCGCGTTTTTGGTGTCCTAGCAACCTTGCTTCTGTGTATCAACACCCCCACTTGTGTGAAGCGCGGCGGGCAGCAGCCGTGACAATAACATGGTTGGATGAGAAAAGACAGCTGGGAGGAGAAGTCCCAAGATTGGCCAAGACTGTTTTTCTCATCGTCCCGCCCCAGCAAACTTCCCGTCCGCGCTCTCTCTCGCCGTTTTTCTGTCAACACTTGATGAGTTTTGATCATTTAGCCAATCCGGTTGTCCTGCTTATGTTATAATATCTCAACCGTGTTTTGCGTGCTTCTGTTGAAACGGAATATTAATCTCACTTGAGTGGCTCCCGCTACGTTAACGGCTAACGCAAATCCAATCCGAAAGCAACATACAAGTCAGAACATCTTGCTGTCTCACGACGCTCAGCTCCTGAAGTAGTAAGTTATGATGACAGCAAAGATTTGTCTGATAAAATCATTTTGGGCCATAATTACGGTATAAAACTATCTAGTACTCTTCGGTGGGTGCTAACTTCACAACAAGGAGCAGTTTTGGCCCAGAGTAAAAGTGTTTCCAAAAAGGAGGCCAAGTGCTTGCTTCAAGTTGTTTATTGCCCCTTCCCGTTGAAGTTTCATGGAAAACTACACGTCAAGCAAAGAGAATGGAAGCAAACACCGTGTAGTGAACACAACGACGACGCCGAAGGCCCCCGTTGGAGGAGCCGTGACCCGCAACTGCAAGTCGGGTTCCTGACACCGGGCAGTGCATTTGGCTCCAGACGACCTGGATAGTCTTGAGATTTCTTTGCACGCAGGCCAAGTTCAACACAGCATGTGACAGATAGTAAAGTGGCCCCTGGAACATAAGTGAGCCGGCTGTCGCTCGGCTGTCCTTGACTTTAGTACCGTACATGTGGCACGGGCAAAAAAAAATCGTCATTTAAAGAACTTGAAACTGATTGAAATGCGTATTGGCAAGCCGCAACGCTTCGGCAACAATGTTTTTGTGACGTTCTTTCATTGACAGATCGGTACCAACACTTGCGTGAACCAAGGAAAAGTTAAAAGTAAGGCTTGCAGAAGACCTTTTATGATATGGTGTATTTTTTTAATGATATATTATCTTGAGATCCATCCATCCATCCATTTTTCGATCCGCTTTATCCTCACAAGGGTCGCGGGGGGTGCTGGAGCCTATCCCAAGCTGTCTTTGGGCAGTTGGCGGGGGACACCCTGAACCGGTTACCAACCAATCACAGGGCACACAGAGACGGAGGAACTATACGCGCTCACACTCACACCTCGGGACAATTCGGAGTGTTCAATCGCGTTTTTGGAATGTGGGAGGAAACCAGAATACCCAGAGAAAACCCACGCAGGCCCGGGGAGAACATGCAAACTCCACACAGGGAGGCCGGAGCTGGAAATGAACCCGGTACCTCTGCACTGTGAGGTCGACGCGCTAACCACCGGGCCGCCATCTTTAGATCCTTTTTTTTTTTTTGTTTGTTTGTTTTTTAAACCAGGTCAATTCGACCAGCAACATGACCCGATGGGTTATTAATGAAACCGCTCGCGACGTTGGAACCATTTTGAAGCTTCACATTGGAAACGGATGAGAACGAGTGAGCAATCGAGCCAAGCGGGTCATCTCAAGGGGCTTTCTGTAACCCGGTCCTCAAGCAGACATGTATTTTTATCGCGGCCTCCCGACCCCGTGGCAATGACGATAGCGGCAACTGCGTCGGCCTTTCCGACGATCCAGAGTTGGGCTGAGGCGGGCTGAGAAAAGATGTCCAAGTGGAGGAGCGGCGGTTTTATCGGGGAGGTGCGTGGGAGGGGGAGTGGGGGGGCAACAGGACCCGGCCTGTCCTTCTCTGGCAGTCTATTCTAGGGCAGCGATCACTTCTCACCCTCTCACTTCTTAAAAATAGCCCCCCGATTTCACCGGCAAAGGCAAAGCAGGGGGAACATGGCAATGCCTTTATTTTTAAATGCGGGCCGAGAGCGCGGAGGACGCGATCTGATGGAAACATTTCAAAAGAACAATGGACGCTTGTGGAACGAGCGACTCTTTGAGCCGACAATAAAGACGGTTCACAATTGAATGTCATGCAGCTTTATTTCGGGTTCCATTCAAGTCCAAGGAAGTCAACCAAGACAAAGTGAGAGATCGCTATAACCACCCGCTACATTTGAAATAAAAGCAACACATCTTTTGACAATCGCCATTCTAAACTTGACGCCAACATTCAAGTGATCCAGAAGTACAAAAGTATAAAAAGGAAAGTTATGTATTCACCAGTGATGTTAAATATTGCACTGAAAGTACTGGCGAGTGACGCTAGCCCACATCCCCGCAACACTCGATTATCGTGTCCCCGCCATACTCTCTCGTCAGAACACCTTCACAAGCACATTAGTCCGGCAACACTTGATTTTCCATCATTCCTCCTCTTCTTCCTCCGCATCATCAAAATCATCTTCGTCGTCCGAGCCAAAGTCCATTTTCGCCAGCACCGCTTCGACGTGCTCCGTCGCCACGGCGAAATGATCCATCTTCTCGAAACCCGGCTCGGGCCGCTCTTCGCCCATGGAGCCTTTGGCCGCGTCTTTGGTCTGCATGATGAGGCCCTTGGCCGCCACCAGAAACTCGGCGGCGCCGCTCTGCTCCAGCGCCCGGACGGCCGAGTCGGTGAGGTCGGTGCTGGCTTGGAGTCGCTCGCCGTAGCGCTGGGACAGCGCCCGCAACTGGGCCACCTTCTCGTCTTGCTCTTTGCCGATCTGCTCCAGGAGGACGGTCTTGCGCTCCTCCAGGACGGCGTAGAGCAGGTCGAAGCGTTCGGAGAGGCCTTGCTTGGCGCGCTGGGCGTTTTCCTGCACGGCGCGGCAAGCGTCTTCCATCTGGATGAGCAGCGACTGCAGCCGCCCGTTGCTGGCCACCAGGCTGTCGATGGCGTTGCTCAGTTCGCCCTTCTGGGTCTCGTAGACGCTCTCCAGAGGCGCCACCTCGCAGTCTTGATGCTGCCCAAACACTTTGCACATGGAGCACGTGGGGGTCTGGCAGGTTTTGCAGTAGATGTTGATTCTCTCGTCTTGGTGCTCCTGGCACTTGGGCTCTTTGGACTCTTTGGGCTTCAAGGAGGGTTCCGTGTTGCCGCCGCCGCCGCTCACTTCCACCTGCTGCTTGTAGATGTCAATGATGTTCTCCACCAACAGGTTCCGCTGGAGCCCGTGGACGCCGTGGCGGTCCAGCACCACCTCGAACCTGCACGTCGGGCAGCGGAAGACTCCGCCGGAAAAGCGGTAGGGGTTGCGCGAGTCGTAGAGGTCGCTGGCGCAGCTGCGGCACAGGTTGTGCTGGCAGGGCAGGATGACCACCGGCTTGGTGAACATGTCCAGACAGATGGGGCAGCTCAGCTGCTTCTCCAGGCTGTCCATCGGGCTCGGCGGGCGAACCAAGGATCCGGTCCTCTGGACGTCCATGATGGAAAAGAAAATGTCCGGCTTCTTTTTGAAATGAATGACAGCAGACGCTCCTTTAGCCTGGCGGTGTGCTTGCTCACTTATAGATCTACTCTGTCCGGTGAACCGGCGACGCCGTCCTTTATACCGCCTCCCTTCCAGCTGGTGACACTTGATCCTACCAACCAAAGCGCACATTCCTGCCTGCTTGCTGGCCGGCCCGTCGAACTTTTCACAGAAATGACCCACCCCCGCCTCTCCATTGCAGCATGTGTCACATGTCCCAGTTGGCTGTACGCGGCATCCAAAGTGAGAGGTGGACATGGTGGACGAACAGAGAAATAAACAGGGTGCATGTGACTGGACGCAAAACAAGCAAGTGTACATCGTGTGAAGCAGATGTTGTCGTACGTCCGTCGGCTTGTTTGTTTGTGCGTCTCAATGTTAACCGGAGACAAACAATTTCGCAACAAAACTTATTTTTCTTATCGATCTAAGATGACCGATTCAAAATGTTTTTTCGTGAAAAGAATATTGTCGCACACCGAGGGACGCGGTCCACCGTGACTGCAATGGACCATTGTGGACAAAATTACAGTAAGAGACTCTCGGTCGCAAACCAAGTGACTGAGCATGAAACATCTACTGACTCACTGCAATGAAAAAACTGCGGCTCTTTGTTGGGTGACGACACATTGTCAAGAAAGAAGCAAAATGTTACAAAGGCAGGAAACAGTAAACAATAAAGTGGTGCCATTCAATTTCGGCGACAGAGGCTCTCCACGCTTGACTTTCTCACCACAGGTACATTTCAAATTATGAACACAGTTGAGTATTACTGTAAAACACAATATACGTCGCAGTTGCTGAACCCTGTACACCCCATGACACTTTAGTCCTTTTTTTTCTGGTTTAGTCAATGTGCAACATCATAAAATTTAATTCAAAGATAATGTTTGTGTAGCTTTTGTTGTATTGCGTGTAAAATGGATCTATTCTAAAGTTTCGATCTGTTTGAGTGACTGACTAGTGACTGCACTAAAATCTGTTGTTGCATTATTGTTTAACATGCATCGGTTCACCCTGAACCAGGAGCATTGAAAGAAACAAGCACAACTGGAGCCTTCAGCCAGCTTTGTCGACTCGTCATTCCCGAGTGAAGTCTTTTGCTTCACATCTGTCAAGGTATCCACCGGCAATTATCTTCCTGCGAGTTCCACAAACTGTCTTGTGACAAACCGTACGTCAGCTTCCGCACATCAACACGAGGCGGCCCCCGTAAACATGACGGAGACGCTATTATTAAAACGCTTGCACAAGTGAACGTCACATGATGCAAATGTTCCAAAGTATAGATTAAAAAAAACATGTGAATGCGAAATATATTTTTTAAAAAAAGACAAAATAAACATTTTCAGTTTGTAAAATGAAACTGGAGGTGATGCCGAAAACTGGATTTAAAAAAAAAATGTTTTCTCTGATTTCTCATGGCTCCCGAACTGTCTTGAAACAGTGTTCAATTGGCGCCCCCTACTGGCGAATACAATCAACGCATGCTGAATGCACACAATTTATGTTAAAAAGAAATACAAGAAAAACAGAACAAAATGATTTTCAAATTATGTTCAAATTACATTTAGTTGAATAGACTACACACTTCATCGTCAAACTGGTCAACTTTGTTGTTTCTTGCAAAAAATCATTCACTCTGTATTTTATGGCTGCAACATGGACCGCGAAATGCTGGCGCAGGCTCACGATTACATCACCTTTTCTTTGAACAACATTCTATCAACGTTTGAGAAGCTAATGACTATTTTCTAAAAGCAATGAAGTCCATCAGTTTTAATATGAAATATACTGTCTAATGTTTTAAATTAAATAGGGTTGAACAGGGTGCTATGACGGATTCGGCTGTTGCGTCACCAGGAAGTATTGAAGGCAGAAGCAACAGCCAAAACTGTCAGCAAGAGTTTTTCTCTTCACCCCTCCCCGAAAAAAAGACCTTTGTCTCGAAAAAGAAACCTTAAACCTAACTAAGGTATATCCTGTTTTTATTTTGGTCTCATACAATGTCCCAACTCCATTGGAATTGGGTTTGTAAAACATTAAAAAGGCGTGCATGTGTATTGTGATATGGACGCATTGTCCCAGTGCCAACGACGCAAGACATACCTTGAAGGGCCTCCATTACTGGGAGAATGTTTTCTGACCACTGATAAGCCGCAATAGATGTGTAGATCCCGGGGAAATCTCGTTGCCAAATGTGCTGGCCAACTGTCCAGATTGCTGCTAATTCAGGATTTGCCTGAGTATGATTAAGAAAAAGCAACTTTGAATGTCGTCACCATTGGGAGTTCACCCACAAGCATAAAGCACGACCTGGTTTAGAGAAAAAAATGTAAAAAACAAATATAGAATAGGAACATGCAACTTGATATCTTATCCAACAATATCCTTCAAAAACAGTAATAAATTAGCATCATTAAAAAAAAAGCTACATTCTAGCCACGAGAAATGGTCTGAAATGAACCTTCTTTGTTTACACTTGTGAAACTGATGGAGAGAAGGCTCTTACCGCTTTTATTGCCTGGGGAATCCGTTTCCAAAGATACCTGGCATTATTCCTGTACAACGCACAAGGACACGTCAATAAACAAACGTACTGCATCTTTTTTTTTTTATATGATACACGTAACTTACATGTCATTATGTAGTAAATAGAGTGCCAGAAGTTGAGCATAAACTTGAGGGGTCGTAATGCCTCCTGGTGCCTGTTGGAACAAAACAACAATATTGAAGTAAGGTAACTATGACAGCGACTTTTGGATTGATCCGCCCACCACAACTATGCCACCCGTCAACGCGTTGCTGAACTCCTGCTAAACCAACAAACAGGATGCAACAAGGGCAAAAGCAACGATATATTCCGTTAAATGCTGAAAGTGTGTCGGTATAGTATTGTTAATCCGTTAGTAGGGCGCTGTTAGCTTTATTATGTTAGCACCAGACCGGGTCAGATGCTGTTCCAAACTCAAGTATCAGCAGGAACAAGACGCATATCACTGAAAAGACTCGAACATTTTTCGTAACATACCTCGAGCTCTTGAGCTTCACACTGCTCTAATAATTTGTCAAAGTTTTCTTCCATGATCACCGCAGCAGGCATGATGAGGATTAACCCTCTTCTGATTCTTGTTTTCGCCGAGCAACTTCACTTTACTTCCCGGAGAGAGCGAGGTGACCCGGAAGTACTTAACGGAGAGCTCGTAGGAATTGTAAAAGTGTATAAAAAAGATTCTTGGATGCAACCTCGACAAAGCTTTCCCATGACCACCCTTTACGAAATGAAAAGAGATAAATAAATACCCACAATCACTGACGGCGGCAGCAGGCCACCGATTAATTTTACAGATTACACTCAACGCTCGATAGTTTCACGCAAGAGACTAATCAAAATCAACATCATCATACTACTACTACTACTACTAGTAGTACTAGTACTACTACTACTACTACTAGTAGTACTAAAATAAATATTGTTAATAACAATGATACCACTGCTATAATAATAATAATAAATTTCATTTTAATAAAAAATAGGGCATAGTAGTATAAATAAACAAACATGGAATAAGAATAATGAATAGTATCAATATGAAAAACAAAACAGCCCGATGAAACGGTGCTTTGTTCTTTTGGCCACAAGAGGGCAGTATATACAATTTATCAACATGACGTACTTCCATATTTCTCAACCGATTCCAAATCCAAATGCGTCTGCTTATTGAGGACATCTTGGAAACAATGTCCACACTCCCCAGATTAAGACGATGTTCATTCTTCTACATTTTCCACAAGAAAATTCCCAATAGTATGCAGACATGTGACAAATCCTCTACATTCCTGAACCGCTTCAAACTATGGCAAATTCAAACCGTGCTGCTCATTCGGGACAACTGGGCAACTATTTCACCAATTGGAATATTTGCTACATTTTCGGAATGCCACAACTTTCAACCACATTCTCAAATTCATTTTGCGTATTTATCCTCGTTCCTCAATTTTTGACTGATTCAAAACATTCCAACTTGAAAATGCCTGAATGGTTTCACAGACAGATTACATGCAAACAAAACACAGTCCCTAAATTCCAACAAGTTAAAAAAAATTACAAAATCAAAAATACTGAAGAATTGTGACTTTGGGGTGAATCCATCCAGATTTCATTCCATTTCAAATGGTTCAAATTAAAAAAATGTTCATTTTATTCTTGGAAACAATTGTTTGCATATCCCATTACCTCCAAATTCCACATTTAACATAGCGAAATTGCCAAATTACACATTTCACAACTGTTTCCACACCATTCCAATGTAAACTGTTCAGATCATTCAGGACTTCCTGGGAATTATTTACCACAATGATGCTTATTGCACAGGCAAATATATGCAAACATTTGACAAATGTGCCTCCTCCTACCGCATATCTGAACCAAATTAACATTTCAATGAATTCTACACCCTTTCAGTTCAATTTCAGCTTTTGAGCACTGACATGCGATTTGTACAAAAATAACAATCTGGAGTTGTTCCAAATTGTTGGACCTAACTGTATTGATCCATTCATCTGGCAAACCTAATTACCCTTGGGAGCAGCAGTTTGCCACCAAAACAACTGTGTGAGCTTTGCGTAATGAGCTGCATATGATGTATCGATCCCAAACACCTGTTGAAATGTTGACCATCTAGTTTCTAGGAAACCAGGGCAAACATTTTCGAATGAAAAGCAGATGCACAATGACCTTTTCATGTTTATTCGCTGCCATGCACGTGCCAAGGCCGTGACCCCGTGATGTTCCAAATGTGCGGAACCAAAAAAGTCAGGTGTGCGGTGTTTTGGTCACTCGGGTGCTGGTTGATCATCTTCCTCCCCCACCAAGTACTTAATCCTTCTTTACATTGGGCTTAAGGGTGTTGTCAATGTGTTTTTGGCAGCGACACAATGCAAGTCATGATAATTGCTGACACGCTGGGACTAATAGCTTGCTTGGTCATGTGGTGGGCCCAGTTTGACCAGTCCTTTACTCAAATATTCTGCTCAGTCTCGAGCAGGACTGGGCAAACAACAAAGTAAGCAATTTCATTATTGACAGGCCTGAAAGGGCAGTTGCTTTCATTTTGTTGTTTCCCCCATCATGAAATTGGTGGGTTAGAATGGAAAAATACACGGTACATTTTTTAATTCATTGTGCTTTACTAAATAGTTGGCTAATTGATTTCTATAAGTTACATAATCAAATAAAATAAGACTAAGTAGGAGAGACAGTTTTGATCCAATAATGAGTTAATTCATTTGAATTTAATTGTACATATTTTAAATAAAGAAAAAAAACCCAATAATTTCAGGTAGCCATAAGAATGAAATAAAACATTGTATGGAAAAAAGAGAAAAATAGTATGGAAAAATGTACATTTTAAAATCCAAAAGCATATAAAAATACCTACATTGTTAGAGAGCCATAATAATTAAATACAAAATTAGGAAAACAAAACTGAAAATGGGAAAAAATTAAATAATATATTCAAAAAATACAAATAGTACAAAATAAAAAAATTATACATTCAAATCTAAATAAACATTTAAAATAAATTTAAATTTAAAAAGTTACAAGCTTTACAAATAAAAACATATCAAAATCACCCATTTTAAATTCAACATTTAAAAACGTTTTTATTAGCCATCCATTCAAATACATCATATCATTTTTTTAATTTTTATTTTTATGTCGATTCCCCGATAAAACTGTTGGATTTCTTTTCCTCTGGAGATAAATGGTTTCCAGAAAGACTGCATATTGTTGCGCAAATGGAAACTGCTCAGAGATTTGACTTTTTCTCCCTCGGTGGATCAAGTATCAAGTATCAAGTACAAGTTTATTGTCATAGATTGCCTAATAGTAACCCTTCAGTGGCAGTGCCTTATCTTTGAACGGACACCAGGTGGTAAAAGGGACTACGCCTTTTAGGGAACATGATAACCTTTTGACTCCCCCATCATGAATATGTTATTAATCGGCCAAGATAACACAATAATAAAAATACAAGTCAAATATGAGTCAACTCAGTCGCATTTCTGGCCACCCCATGCCTGAAAACAAACAATAGGAGGTATTGTAGGGTTCCCACATGATCCTGCCCCACTAAAAGTGAATTTATAGCGCCCCTGGAAAGTTTGAAAAATAAACAACGAAATTATTCAGGAGTATCTTATTTCAACAGAAAAAAAATGAGAGGAAGAATAAACTCGGTTATTCACTCCAGGAGTGGAGCAGCGTCAAGACAGCATCACATGACTCTCGAGAAGGTCACGTGACAGCGGTCAAGGAGGGGCGGAGTCAAGTGAGGGGGTGGAGGCGACTTAAATCAGAGCTGGACGTAAACACAGCGGCAGTTGCAGCCGCAGCACCATCGTCAGAGAGACGCTCACAGCACAGTGACGTTTGGGAGAAAACAACGCCAAAACACGAACAGCTTTCGGCTGCTTTTTGCACGTCGCTCGCCGCTTAATTGAAGCATTTCTCTCCGACTTCAGCTACAGTGATAGCTAAGTTTGGGGAGGAGGAAAAGGAGAGCGAGAGACGTCGCCTGCATTTTTTTTGTCGCCCCTTCTTGGTGGTCTTATTGTTGCCGAGCTCAGTAACGCCGGAAAAAAAAAGGTTTCTGAGCTTTCCTTCTCAACCGATTTTTAAACATGGAAAATTCCCGAGCCAATAGGACATGCTGTGGTATGTGTTCAACGACTCTATTGTTGTTGTTGTATTATCCCCCTGGACCTCGTTTATTTTTATTTTTTTGCGATGAATTCCACGCGTGTAATATTTTTCCCTCCCCCTTGCAGAATCCATTCAAGATTTCTTCACTTCATCAAAATTCCTAATCTATTTGGGACATGCACTGTCCACTTGGGTGAGTAAACCCATTGCATTGCATTGGATATTGTTTGGAATGTTGGCTTCTTGTTTGAGTGGTTCTTACGTCTGCCTCACAGTTAATAGGTTGCGGAATTGAATTCTCGACCCCGATATTACACAAACGGGCACATAAGTCTCATTGTAAAATAATTGTCCTTTCGCGGAAATGTGAGTGTGAGGAGTTTTTAGTCCCAGAGATTACTAAGCAACCAATCCTTTGTCTCTTGCCAAAAATCAATATTTACCTAAAATCAATATTTATACATTCCGGGCTCATCAACTTTTTTTTTTTTTTTTAAATCACAGCTTCTTCTCAGGTCATGATTAATGCGAATACATACTTCTTAAAAAATGCTCAAATGACCTTTAAATTTTTTTATTATAATATGCCATTATGATAATAACCAATGAGAGTCATTTATGTGAAGACACTATCATGTTAAGGATTTGTCACAATTATTAGAAAACACTATGTCTATAAATCTCTGCCGGTCTGTTGACATTTTCACACTCTCTAGCGCTTGAAAATGAACATGTTATTACATTATAAGTGTCCAGAAGCACGTGTGTCTCTTTTAAAATTCATAACGGCTCACTCAGACAACATTTTCAGAAAACAGGATGCTCACAAAAGTTTGACGTAGTCGTTTCATCTCACACTCAATGGCCACTCCAGAGATTCAGCTATTTGTATCCAAGCCTTCAAAAGTCACTTTTCCACCGCATCGGCTCCCTTTAAAGCAAGCTTTGGTTTCAACTTGCAGGGTGACCGAATGTGGAACTTCGCCGTGGCCGTGTTCCTGGTGGAGCTGTACGGCAACAGCTTGCTGCTCACGGCCGTGTACGGGCTGGTGGTGGCCGGCTCCGTGCTGCTGCTCGGTGCCATCATTGGCGACTGGGTGGACAGGAATCCCCGACTCAAAGGCGAGGAACATTTTTGGAATGGATCGTAATGTGTACAAGCAACGGCTCACAAAATCCGCGCTTTTCCTGTCAGCTCGGTGTATGTTTGTTAACTGGTGGGAAAATCAGTTATGTCTTGTACAGTCCGGATAACACTCAAAGGGGCAGTCTGACATTTGCCACATCATTGTGACAGTCTGAGGTTAAAGGGTGAGATTCTGGCTGCCGGAGAGGAGAAATGACAACCTCCGACATGCTTTTCATTTATTCCAACAAAGAAGGTTATCGTTATCCGGCACATACCACAGCTTGTCTTGAATCCGTGCAGGCTACAATGAAACCATTCAAACATAAAACAATAACTCGATGATGATTTCCTGACCTATATCTACTCTATTAGTACACCAGTCCACGATAAGGGCTGTCTGTTTTGATTCGAAAACAACCACATCAAACACATTTGGGAGCGACAAAAGGCAACAGGGTGGATCGGGGTGCAGGAAAGCCATCGAAAAGAGCACCAGAATGAACTTGGCCAGACGGACAATCTGTTGTATTCGGTCACGCCTGTCTTTAATGTCCGTTTTTTTTTGGGTTTTTTTTTGCACCCCCGCAGTGGCCCAGACGTCTTTGATCGTGCAGAACAGTTGCGTCATGACGTGCGGGATTATCCTCATGGTGGTATTCCAATTCAAAGAGCAGCTCATGGAGGTCTACAACGGATGGCTGCTGGTAAGACGCTCAAATTCTGGGTTACGTGATCTCTCTGGAAGCTTTTCTTTGACCTTTCACCTCAAGTACAACAACCTGACCCACCGGTTGCTGCTCACTAACTGATATGGACTTCCACGTCCGTATTATTTTTGACCCCTTGAAAAGTTGCCAGCGGAATCGACCATGAAACATTTGACTGTAACCAGATTTACTCGTCCATGCAGATGTGGTTACTGACTGAATAGAATCCGAATTCTCAATCATTGTAACTGTACAGCCACATTGTTTTTTTTTTTGAATGACAGGCCTCGTCCTGAACAAAGCAACAAAGGCAGAAACCAAACGACAGCCTCGCTAGTGCCGGAGGCTTGTTTACACTTGTTTAACGACTCTTGAGGGGGTCTGACCGAAGGGCCGTGCAAGTCAACGAGTTCTTGCAAGGCGGGTCATATGACACACGGGGAAATGTGACCAGGCCTGTTGATGCATTTTTTGTTGTTACTATTCTGACCAGACAGCAGCAACAGCTGTGTTGGGCGGTAGCCGACACAAGATCAACAAATCCAGCGCGCGCCCGACACATCAAAATCTTCCACATGTTCAAATATTAATTGCTGCCAACTAAGCACTTTTTGGGCATTAATTCAGTGGACTTTATTTCCCCGTGAACAAACTTGATACATTTGAACGTGCGTAGCGTTACAATTTACAGTTGAATGCATTCTAGCTCAGTCCGTACTTGAAAACAACCAGCGCTGTATACAAAATGCTGGACATGGAGCAAAAATAATCCATACAACAACCAACAGTAAATTAATAACAAAGACAGTAGAAAGCACAAAAACAGTCCCGTTCAAAATCGAGTCTCATGCGGAGTCAGCTGGGTAGCGACGGGGCTTGCCGAACGTTCAGCGGGAGGTTATTCCAAAGCGAGGAACCAACAATGGAAAAGGCTCGGTCCCCTCGGAGCCCCCGCTTCGTCCTCGGTACTTCTAATAGTGTCTGGTTCGCAGACCTGAGACACCGGGCAAGTGCGGAGGGGCGGAGGAGCTCAGAGAGGTAAGGTGGGGCCAGGCCATCTCAAAATTTGAAAACAAATGAGATCTTAAAAAGAACTCTTAAATGTATCGGGAGCCAGTGAAGGGATGCCAGAGTAGAAGTTAGGTGCTCCCTCTTACGAGTAGCAGTCAAGAGGCGAGAAGCAGCATCTTGAACCAACTGGAGACAAAGGAAGCCCCCTTATCTTAAGTCCCCACTGTAAAAACAAAATTCACTTCTTATTTCATGTACTTGTCTTTTTTTTTTGTCATTCACATGTGGCAATGTTCTTGAAAACTCTCTTCTCTGTGCTATGCCAAACTTGGAAGACGTTGACTTGACTTGACGGTGACTCTTCCACTCGTGCAATATGATAAGACGGACTTCATTCTTGATTTTCCAGACCACCTGCTACATTCTGGTGATCAGCATTGCCAACGTGGCCAACCTGGCCAGCACGGCGATGTCCATCACCATCCAGAGGGACTGGGTGGTGGTGGTGGCAGGCCAGGACAGCAGCAAGTTGGCAGGTCAGTGTTTGCGCCCGTAAATGTGGACTTCACGTGATCCTTTATCACGTCCGCGTCGGACTTCGACCCTCCGTTTGGACTCGTTCTCCCATTTCACATTTGATATGGGGACTCGTAACCCGCGTTTGTCATCAAACCGCATCGTTTCGAAACCAGCGACAATAAACGTTTCACTCCTGCGCCAGATATGAACGCGACGGTGCGGATTATCGATCAGCTGACCAACATCCTGGCCCCCATGGTCGTGGGCCAGATCATGGCCTTCGGCTCGCACTTCATCGGCTGCGGCTTCATCTCGGGCTGGAACCTGTTGTCCATGTTACTGGAGTACATGCTGCTGTGGAAGGTCTACCAGAAGACGCCGGCTCTGGCGGTCAAAGCCGGGCAGAAGGAGCAGCACGAGCAGGAGCTCAAACAACTCAGCCTTGTGAAAGGTATCTAACGAACAACGGTTTGGACAGCGACAGTTGAACAGTCATGTGGGGCATCTTCCCTCATAAGCACCTGTTCAGTCTCCATTGGTTTGAATAGTTTGTCTATAATGTGCCCTTCTCTCACGGAAAGTCACTTTAGATGAACTGAAGGCGAACTAGAAATGAGCTGGGAGAGCCTCCAGCCCGCCTGTGACTAAGCGTGCGCGAAACCGCGCGAAGCCAAAGCTCGCGACAACCCGAGACATGAAGCGGCGTCCCCTTTGAAATGGCAGAACCACGACGTGTCCATTCCACATGCCCCAGAGTTAGTCTCCAACTCAGATATCACATCGGCCTCGGTCTTCAGTAAGACACCTTCAACGGGGTGTCACGTGACTACTGGTACTTTTTCCGGTGAATGTCATCTGACCGGAGTCAGCAAAACTGTGGCTAGCGGCCACCGCTAATGCTAACTCAACGATGGGTTGGGCGAGAGGCACTGTCCTCTACCCTGAAGCTCATCTCGGTCCGCAACATGGGAGCTTTTCGGTGACTTTGGTGATGACGTAGTCGACCCCGACATGTCAAGGCACCTTGAAAGACACCGAGGACCACTGAATTCCACGGGTGAATTGAGGTCCACTTGTGGTTGCATTCACCCGTGGTAATCCGCCGTTCTGTTTTGCAGAATCCGAGACAGGCCAAAGTCCAGAGGAGTCCTCTCAACCCCTCATGAACGCAATCGTACCGGCGGTCAAGACCGAGCCCCCCAAAGAGCGAGGGTGCTGCTACCAGGTGACCGAACCCCTGCGCACCTTCAAGGCCGGCTGGAAGGCGTACTACAACCAGAGCATCTTCTTCGCCGGCATGTCCCTGGCCTTCCTCTACATGACCGTGCTGGGATTCGACTGCATCACGACCGGCTACGCCTACACGCAGGGCCTCAACGGCTCCATCCTCAGCCTCCTGATGGGCGCCTCGGCCGTGTCGGGCATCTGCGGAACGGTCGCCTTCACGTGGGTCCGAAAGAAGTGCGGCCTGATCCGGACCGGCTTCATCTCGGGCGTGGCGCAGCTCTCTTGCCTCATGCTGTGCGTCTTCTCCGTCTTCGCTCCCGGGAGCCCCTTGGATCTCAGCGTTTCACCCTTCCAGGACCTCTACGCCCACCTGGTTGGGGAGAAGGCGCTACCTGAGGCCGAGCACCTCATGAGCGTCCTTTCCGGTGGGAACGTGACCGCCACCAGCGCGCCGGCTGAAGATCTCCCCGGCCCACAGTCCTACATGTCTGTTAGCTTGCTGTTTGCTGGCGTCATTGCTGCGAGAGTCGGTGAGTCACAGTGGTTCATCTCGTTTTGACTGTATCGAGGTTCAAAAGTTTTTTTTTTTGACCGCCACCAGCGCGCCGGCTGAAGATCTCCCCGGCCCACAGTCCTACATGTCTGTTAGCTTGCTGTTTGCTGGCGTCATTGCTGCGAGAGTCGGTGAGTCATAGTGGTTCATCTCATTTTGACTGTATCAAGGTTCAAAAGTTGTTTTTTTTTTTTTTTTACCTAACTGGGGAAAACGGATTCAACCCACTTTTCCTGCCATCCAGGCTTGTGGTCCTTTGACCTGACGGTGACTCAGCTGATCCAGGAGAACGTGATCGAGTCGGAGCGAGGCGTGATCAACGGCGTCCAGAACTCCATGAATTACCTCTTGGACCTGCTGCACTTCATCATGGTGATCCTGGCGCCCAATCCGGAGGCCTTCGGCTTGCTGGTCATTATCTCGGTGTCGTTCGTGGCGGCGGGCCACGTCATGTACTTTTACTTCGCCTTCAAGAGTCTCGGCCATCGTCTGTTCCTCTGCTGCTCGCCCGAGCAAAAGGTCGAGGCGGAGGGCAGCCCCTCGCCTCCCAATGTGGTCTAAACTGCCTTTCGCACAGGCCATCCCTGGCATGTCCATCTAGCTTGGTATCCATACACAGCAAGCGTCTCTTACAGCCTACTTCAGCGTTACTAACGTCTTCACATGTAGCCAGTCGAGTGCGAAACCTTGCGATGGAAGCATTTTGCAATGTGTACCAATCCAAAGTTGAAGTTCAGGCAAAGCAGAGGTTTCTCTTATCCCTCCTGTTATGGTCGTGTCTTGGATAAACCCAAAATGGGTCAATGGGACTCGCTGCATATTTGAGAGAGAGAAAAAAAAAAAAAAAAGATGGGGGCGTGGTTTGCATGGGTCAACGCGACCTTCAAAATAGCACGAGGGTCGAGTTAGTGGAAGAAAAAAAAAAGGCATTTAATGGACTAGAAACAGTGGGAAAATACTTCTAATGGATATGGGAAATTCTAATTAAATTTGGCTTCGGACTTTTAAAAAATACTTAAATACTATATTTTTTTTTTTTAATGATTAGACAAAGTAGGTTGCATTGGCCCAAGAACAAAACCTAACAGGAGGGTTAACGCGTTCAACATTGCAGTGATGTCATTGGTGCTTCAAGTGTCTTCATTGTCGTCCTGTGTTAGCTGACACAGGTTGGGATATGTATATATATTTTTATTACTTTAACCAAACAACAGCAACACCTGGATCTCAAGTCTTTTTTTTAACGTGATTAAAGCGTTACGCAAAGGACGGTATTTATTCAGGAAAATGTGTCAGCAATATTATACTTGGGCGGGGAGAAATAAAAACCTATCCAGCTGCATCAATAGCTCTCAGTTACCAAAGTCCAGGTTCATACGTGTGGTGTGAAAGGAAGAAGAGAGGGAAGCATTCCGAATAGCCACTTTTGCACCAGGTGACAAGAAAACAAAAATAGTGGATATATTTACGAAGGCTACTGGAATTGTCATTTCTGTTTACTTGTTGTTCTTTGAATCCACCTCCATTTGTGATATGTTGCAGTTCTTCTCGGTGGACTCTTCTTTTCTCACTGGCCCATCCGTGATTGTTGTTATGCCAGCACTTTACATGACTGACCTCAGTCATTACACCTATTGTCTGATCGGACATTTGTTTTTTTTTTTTTTTTTTTTTTTGCACAAGTCCATGGGTTTACGGTGTGGCTGGAAAAAAGTGCAGAACTATGTTCGGTAACGGTCCCTGTGAGGTAGGAGGTCTGAATGTAGGCCATGTTTGGCTTGGCTCTCCCCAAATGTGGCTTGAAGGATGCAAGAGCTGCAGTTTTTAGAACGGGCGGGTACCTCAAAACATGTCTGCGCTGTTTTACGGATAGTCATTTGACAGCTTGATTGGGGAAATGGCAACAGCATCTCAGCAAGGCAAAAAACCACTTTGTGACTGAGTCCACCGTATGTCCTCGACGGCTACTTAACACCAGGTGGTTGGCCACCCATGGTTTCTTTGTGGGAGGGAGACACACCAGATGCAGTAGAATGCATGGCCAATTTTTTTGTAGGGAGTGTCCAAGTTGTGCAACCAAAGGCAAACTTGCCTTAAGGATGCAGCTGTTTTTCCAGTTCCTTACCAGACTTTGATTTCTAAGCTCTTTACGATCATTACGAAAGGCCATCAATATCTTTTCTGTGTCGATAACGCTTAACGTCAGCCGGAATCCATCTTTCCAGTAGAGAAAAAAATGGTTTCAAAAGTGCCATTGCGGTTTTGAATGTTTTTTATAATCCCTGTTGTCAAATTGTTTATTTTGATCTCACTTATATGCATGAATCTGACACTGTATACGTAGTGTGTGTTTCATCGAATCAGAGAAATTGCGTTGTTTTTTTTTTTTTTTCACTCCATGAATTGAGGAAACCGTTTGTCATGGAAAGAGGCATCTAAAATAAAGGACCTTCAGTTCTATCGGGTGTGTTGAGTATTCTTGGCTGCACAGTCTGGCTTGCACATTCCTCCTGCCACAGAATCCCTTTTGTTCAAAGTTTTCCTGGTGAAAAGACTTACGAGTGGCTTAAGAGTTTCTGTCTGGGAGGGGAAACATGGATTTTTGATGTCACTGGTAATAGGGCGTTTCACATGACTGCATTTAATGCAGCTAAAAAGTTGAAAAAAAAATACAAAAATCAGCCATGCATAGCATTTAGCATGAAATTGGTTGGATGTGTCGATCATAACAGGAAATTTGCGTTGTTTTTTTTTTTTTTCACTCCATGAATTGAGGAAACCGTTTGTAATGGAAGAGGCATCTAAAATAAAGGACCTTCAGTTCTATCGGGTGTGTTGAGTATTCTTGGCTGCACAGTCTGGCTTGCACATTCCTCCTGCCACAGAATCCCTTTTGTTCAAAGTTTTCCTGGTGAAAAGACTTACGAGTGGCTTAAGAGTTTCTGTCTGGGAGGGGAAACATGGATTTTTGATGTCACTGGTAATAGGGCGTTTCACATGACTGCATTTAATGCAGCTAAAAAGTTGAAAAAAAAATACAAAAATCAGCCATGCATAGCATTTAGCATGAAATTGGTTGGATGTGTCGATCATAACAGGACACAAAAAAAGGTCTCAAGGACAACCCCCCCCCCAAAAAAAATGCAACTACACTACCGCCACCAGTTCCTCGAAGAGTATAAGAGTTAGATTGGGACTAGTAGATGTTATTAGACTAAACTACTTGAAGCACGAGTCATGAAAATGCCCCAGTCAGCAGCTTCGCCAACTGATGCGGAATTTGGTGGACATGTTCGTTGTGACAGAACACAGAAAAATGCTTTCGGACCAATACCTGAATTTAAACAGGAAGTTGGCCATTTTGGTTCAAAGTCAGAATTGAGACAGCGAGATGCTTCTTTTTTTTCTGCCTATCAATGGCATCAATTGGGGAAGCCGGCGTCAATTTTTTTTTCCAATATATTTCTTGATTTTTACTTCACAGTCCGTATAACAAGAGACACCGTACTGCTCCTTCCTTAACCGTTTTTCAACCTTCTGATACGTAATGACTACAGTAAACCTGAGAAACATGACCTCATAAAGGATTAGTTTGTCATTTAATGTAACAATCGACTATCTTCCTCAATCGTAAAGTGAGCATCTAGAGCATCAAGATAAGCGTTATAATTCTTCAGTCATTCGCCACGTCGCACTGCGTACGATGACTAACATCGGCAATTGAAGACAAAGTGCCCGCCTCCCATTCGCGGACCTTTTGACCAATGTCACCGTGTTCAAAAACGTTTTCTACATTGCCACCGGTGGACCACAGGTGACATTGAAATGAAGTCACGGCTATTGGTATCTTGAAATTTGAATTTATCAAATATATTTAATCATTAACCACACACGTGAATATGTGGGTAATGCACTTTTGAACGTAAACTGGCCTATGATTGAGCCTCGTTCGTTTCACATTGAAGTCAAAGTTAAAAAGGGACGTTGTGTCCTTCCGTTAAAATCCAAGTACAATTTCTCAAGATGATTTTAATGACTTTGGACTTTTTGTTTTTCATTACAAGATGAAGCAGGTTGAACCATAAAAAAAAGGGAAAAAAAAACGCATCACAGGAGGCTTAATACACATCCAATTCACTTTTGTCCCTATTTTGTGTACATATCCAGCAACATTTATTTTTAAAGAACGGTAGCACTGCCTGGCTTATTGCTCCTGCTCTGTCCCTGCCCACACTCAAACCTCATCCTGCATTTCCAATAAAAATCCGTTTCTATAAAAACAGCAAACGTAAAAAAGTTAATTTCCTTGCCCGCCCACAAAACTCTCCCGTTACACAGCATGAAAAGGCACAGAAAAGATCTCTTTGCATGACCAAGCAGCTTGGAACAAAGATGAAGATTTCAGCAGCAAAGTATTTGTCTTCCGTTAACAAATCCCAAAGTCCTGAGTCTGCAGTTTCATAAGATCACGTTTTGTAGCAAGAGTTAGATAAGACTTCACTTTCATCAGCAGTTTTCATTTCCCTCCTTGGCAGGTGCTTGTGGCTAGCAAGAAGACCAAAAACATCCTCCACATAATCTAAAAGATTACTAACAATGTCAAGATTTTGTATGCTTCAGTGTCAAGCGGCGAAAGTGGGTCAAGTTGTAGCTCCTGACGGCACACAGCTGTTAATTGACTGTGAACTTGCTCTCCGGGACCCTTCACCCCCCCCCCCCCCCCCCACTTTTCTTTCAATCCACGAAGGACTTTGTATGCCTGTACTGTAGACTCATTCACCTTTGGGCCTGACTGAGCAAGGTTTTATTTGGTGCGGTCTAATCAGCCGCAGTATCGGTTCCGGGAAGACTCGTGATGTCACGATCAAGTTTTACTGTCTTTTTGGAGGCCCCCTTCACTGCAACGAAACGTGGCGAGTTCATCCAAACATGCTCATACATCACGGGTTCTCACAAGCCCCTAAATTGTTTGCAAAGAACGAAGCGGTCCACTTGAAGGAGGACTTATCTGCCGTGTTTATCTTGCCTCATTGTCTGTAGACATTGACCCTTCGAAATACCAAGAAATACTGTTTAAAGAGGCGTGTGCTACCTCAAAGCGTGTTGTTCAATGAAGGAAAGGAATGATGCGATTGAGAGTATTATTGTGTTGTGGTGTCACAGAACACAAAGGGAAGCATTTTACTGAAAATTGGGATACAAGCAGTAATTCATCAAAGAATAAGGCCCCCAATTCACGCTAAATGTCGGCGTTCAACTAAAATGGCCGACTTCAATTTATCGGCCCGCGCTCTGCGATACTTTCTCACGTGTCCTGGTATGATAAACGTGTCCACCTAATTCCATTTTGATTGGTCCAACTGGTGACTGGGGCTATTGTGGTCAAACGTTGTTTGGGGTTAATTCAGCCTGCGAGATGAGGGTTGATACATTTATTGTAAAATAGACCAAAATAAATTGCAATTCCGTAACTTGTCTTTCAGTTTTTGCTCAGCAGTCCAGGAGGCCACTCAGCCAGCCGCGCTCCATTTTTTTCACTCGCCTCAGTTCTCTGGCTTGCGTTCGGGTCATCGCCGGCGCAGCGGCCTCGGCCGCCTCTCCTGCTTCCATCGACGCCCACTTGGCCCGAACGACGCCGGTTTTCTCGTCCTCCTCCTCGTCGAAGGAGTCCTCTTCCTCTTTCTCACTCTCCATTTCCTCCTCTATGTGTTTGGTTTTACTAAAGGCCATGAAAACAAAGGAAAGGGCTTCAGCGTGACTCTGCCATTTTTTACCATCAATGTGACCCATTGGAGAAAAATTGGAGAAGTTGTTTTGTCTGCTTGTGCAAAATATGAGCAACAACAAATGGAAACAACCTTGAGCCCCCCCCCCCCCCCCCCACCCCCCAACATTTAAAAAAGTCTGTTTTACTAAGTTTGGGATTGTTTTAATAAGTTTAAATGTGTTTAGAGAAAAAGAGATGACTAAAATGCATTCAAAATATATACTGTATGGCCTGAATGAAAAATTTACTAGCTTGTGCTAACATCCAACAAAGTAGGAATAAGCAAAAGTAGTATCGATAACGACTGCCAGTTAATAATTATTGCTCAAAACCAGTTAGTAGCTAGCGCTAACATCTACCAGGTTCTATCTGGTGCTAACAAGTTACTAGAGAGGACCAACATAAAACATTCACGAACTATTGCTAACATTAAATTATTGTTGCTAGTTAACACAAACAACTACTGGTTGCTAGCTAGGAGCAACACCAAATTAATAGATGGGGCCAACGTAAAACGTTCATGAACTAGTGCTAACATTAAATTACTGTTGCTAGTTAAACAACTACTGGTGGCTACTCGCTAGTCCTATCACCAAACATTGATGATCTAGTGGTATTTTTTTTTCTTAATAAAGCAAGCGACAATTTGTCGCTGGAAAAACTTGTGTGTCCAAGTACCAATTTAGATTGGGAGTGAGTGAACTGACCTGGAGTCAGCAACTGAGATGAGGAGTGACTGTACAAACATGGAGCAGAGGAAAGTGGCGGCAGGGAGGACGTGGGCGGGGGTCTGCAGAAGCTGTAAGCAAAGAGATTCAAATAAAATAAGGGCATTGTTACGGTGCCCATCTCGAATTCTTCTTCCAAACACCGACCTCCTTAATGGCAGCAGAGCCCTGCGGGAGCTGCGCTCTGGCCGAGGTGTCGGGATGATCTGGTTGGTCGAGATCGCCTCCTCCTTGCCGCCGTGCGCCCAGCAACAAGTGGAACGGCGTCATGGCAACAGTGTCGTCAACGACAAGCTAGTCAGGGATAGGAAGCGTGCGATCAATACATCGATTCGAGAGGGTGAAAAGACAAAAGAGAAATGCTCATGGATCAGTTTTAGCCGGTGCATGTTTAATCATCAACGCCGGAAGGGACTGACGGCATTTTAATTCGTTGCAATTCACCCTCATCCAGGTATCATTCGAGTAAAACAAAATGTCAAATTCAAGGCCCGGGGGCCAGATGTGGCCCGCCACATCATTTTAAGTGGCCCGCCAAAGCAATTTTGTTTCTTGTTAAAATACCAAAATTGCAAATTGTCTATACTTTCAAAAGCCCACCGATATTGCAAGCCTTTTTGTTACCAATCCCTCTTTTCAAATAAATGTAAAAATAATTGGGCAAAAATGACCATTTTGGTCATTAAGATTTACTATAACATCTTTTTTTAAATTAATATCGGGGAAAACAACCAGACGAAGAAGGTAACGCGCATATTTTGCTGCAGGTCGAATGTTATTTTTATTTATTTATTTTAATGATTTTTGTCATTTTATTTCCATGTAAAAGGTATACATTTTGTCAGGTTTGAACAGGCAGCACGTCACAATGACCCACCAATGAATGTTTCTGTTGCAACTAAACAACAAAATCGAAAGAGTTCCTGCACTGCTGTACTGTCATAAAACGCAGCGAAATCCAAGAGAGGCCAAAGGGACATCGATGTTGACAATGATGTTGCCACGGTCGTAAAACGTCATACACGGTACCTGTTTATTGGAAGCCATTAGTTGCTTCTCCTCCGCCTGAGTGATAAACGTCATAAGGTCCTGCAAAGGAAGAGCCCACGTCACCTCCGGTGAGTTACAACCTCACGCAAAAGAGAAACAAACACATTATTCGAAAGGTGCCTCCCTCCCCACCATGTGCTGGCTAAGGAAGTACAGCTGAGATCGGTTGAGCCACTGGCAGCTCTCGTCGCAGCTTTCCTGCAAGGAGTCCCTCGGGGAGAAGACAGCCCGGGTCACCGTCCCCGGACACACGGCCTTTTGGCAAAACAGCGGCCGCGGCTCGCAGGGCTTAAACACAAACACTGAGCAGAAGGAGGAAAACGATTACATTTATCGGACTGGGAACGATGCTCCTATCTTAGCCTCCGGTTATAATGCCGATCGAACTGACCCATTGTAAAGTTTCAACATCTCAGAATTTTTTTGTTTTAAAAACTAAAAACACTTCTTTTCGAATCCAAATTCATGATTAAATAATTTCCCATTTTTAAACCTGTTGTTGTGTTGGGGGTCAAATTGACCTGCTAAATTGAGAACACGACGGGTTTTCCCATTACTTTTTCCAGGGAATATCATTGCTTACTATGAACCGTGGGACTGTGAAGCCGAGTGAAAAAAGTCGTCAACTTGACTTTTTGATGCTTAAACAGGCAATGGGCCGGAGCAGGAGGGTGAACAAATCTCAAATGTGCTCCACTTAACAGTACAAAAACTTACAGTCGGTACACCCATCTAGAGTGCAAAAGGCCGCCATGTTCTCAGACAGTGGGTCAGACAACAGCAAGCTGACGTCCATGGAGGTGCTCCACTCCACTACCAAAAACAGGACAAGAGACAGACCAAGCGTACGCCATGAGCTGCAAATAGGATGTATGCCGTATGTGTTTTGACATAAGAAGAGCTTTACGCGAGCAAGTGAGGAGATTCCAACAGCAGAGCAGGTTCTTCACCGTCGTTCCCATCAAGTATTTGGAGCAGCTTAGTCGTCCAAAACAAAGATTCCTGATAGAGAAAAAAAAAAAAAAAAAGTTCCTTTAGGGTTTGTTTTTTTTTTTTGCGTGTGACTAAAAATTCCAGAGCTAGCTGCACGCATATTTTACAGGATTAGTTCCCCCCCACCCTTGTGAAGACTTTCAATGAATACACGCAAGCCAGCCTTGAACACCCACAAAGATCAACGATCGGATGCCACATATTAAAATAAAATAACTCAAGCTCCTCTCAAAAGCGGGCCACTTTAATCGTGGTGAAGAAGCTCCAGAATCTTCTCGGTCTTGTCTCTGTTGCCGAAGGGTGTTTGGTGAATTTTTTAATTGACGGCTAATGTAAGGATGTAGGATGGTCATCAGCTGGATTTTTTTTTTTTTCCGCGGATGCCTTTTGAGGTGGGTGAGCAAGGCACTTGTATTTGCATATGGTGAGGTGCCCCTGTCAGTCGGCTGTGCGAACACATGACCTGTTGATTTTGGTGAGGAGCCTCTGTTGCCCACGCCAAAACACGTGATTGCCGAATGACCGACTTCAAGCTCTCACAGACATCGCGTGGGCGGCTGTCTTTCTCTCTCTCTCACACACACACACACACACACACACACACACACACACACACACACACACACACAATTGGTAGGTGTGTACCCCACATCCTCGATCAGCAGCAGCTGAGCTCAGCATTATTCAATATTTGAGGGTTTCACAATGAGTCAGGAGATAGTTGTGCTCTGAGGTCAAGCAATTCAGCCGGCTCAACACATCCATAGGCAGGCGGTGATTATACAAGACGGCGCTGCTGGCAGCTGTCACAACAGCTCAAAGCACCCCCCTCTCACCCCCTCCCAAATCCCTTACTTCAAGAAATAAATCCTTGGCGGCTCCCAAATTACAGTAACTTTCATATATTATATATATAAATAAAGAGAGAGAAACTTTTTCAAAAGTTTTGGTTTCATCATGACGGTGTTGATTTGATTGCTGGTTAGATGATGTGTCATCCAAACGGGAAAGAAAAAGAACTCGTGATAAACACTCCTCATATCTCATTACTGCATTATTAAGCAACTCAAATCAACATGTGTCGTCCCAAAGGTCACTTCTCACTCTTTTCAGGTATCATTAGGACAGATATGAGGCCGTCAGAATTTGACAGCTTCGGTTTTACAGTTTTCTCAAGCATTCCCTTTCTCAGGCCTCGCCAAGTGACATTGGTGCAATGCAGCAAAATTGTAACCTGGCAAGACAAGAAGGTTGGTACGATTTACGCTATCCGCGGCAACTTTCCCCAAAAAGGATCTACTCTTGTCAAACATGCAACTGAAGATCTTTTACGGATGAAAACATTTGTGGCGGGCGTTTGTGCAACGCCAAGCAAAGTCTATCCGTGGGGCTGCTCTGGAACTCGGCATCAACAACTTCGCCAACACTTGCGGTGTGAATGTTCAGCTTCAGGTGTGGGGAAAAAATTTCAGCAACACTTGGCACGTCCTCGTTCAAAAGCGAATAGAAATGAACATTTTGTCGGCTGAATCGGTACAACAGGAACCTTTTTACGACCGAGCACAGTGATGTCCCAAAAGCTCCTTTGGTTGCCGTGACACCACTGCTGGCAAAGCAACAATCCAGGGCACAATTCCCACAACGAATCACTGTTAAGTGATGAAAGCGCAAGTCGCTGAAATTCATTCAGATAGCGATTCCTCGATGAACTACCAACATAACCACTAAAATGATGTATCTATTGTTGTTGGATAGTGATTCCTCGATTAACTAAGCAACATAACCACTAAAATGATGTATCTATTGTTGTTATTTTTTTTTAAAAATCTGACCTGATATCACCCGGCGGCTGAGACAACGTGGTTAGGAGCTCCCAAGTGGCCGGGCTCCACAAAGTCACAACCTCCTGGAAGCCGATGGCGAGGAGAGAGCCGTCGGCTGAGAAGCAGCAGCACTGAGGCGCCAGGCTGTGGTAAGAGCCCACGAAGTCGCACTCCCACGACGGACCCTCATCTACGCCAGTCAGTGCCATCGTGAGAAGAAAGCAAGAGAGACAACATCACCATCAATGGATTACACTAGTATGAAGCAATTTGCTGTGAATGATAATGAACATTCTTGTCATTAAAAAATTGGAGACAAAACACTTTCGTCGTTTAGTCGCATTTTGGCCACCCTCTTTTTATGTGCCTGGTCAAATTGACCGATTCTTAAGATTGAAAAATTAAAAATGACTGACATCAACAATGTGTCTCGGGATTGCCCCCCCCCCCAAAAGAGGCTTTGCAATTATTTAGAATATTTTTACCCCCCAGTGGTATGATGCGGGTCAAATTGACCCATTTTAATAGTCGCAACAAACGGGGTGGAAGATAAGGAGGGATGAAATACAAATAAATAGGCAAAGGAATTTTTTTTTTTTGCAAAGATTTTTTTTTTGTCGTGTGTCAACAGTGCAGTCACGACGCTGTTATCCCCCCACCCCACTCCGCCCAACAAAACGTGTGCTTTTTTTTTTAAGTCCAGCTAACGTGCAGTGGAGCGGCCATCTCACCTCCCGTCTGGGTGGGGGACACCGTCTGCTGCCAGGCTTTGAAGTGTCCATCTTTACTGTCCCAACAAAACATGAGTGTGCTTTTTTTCTTTTTTTTAAGTCCAGCTAACGTGCAGTGGAGTGGCCATCTCACCTCCCGTCTGGGTGGGGGACACTGTCTGCTGCCAGGCTTTGAAGTGTCCATCTTTACTGGCAGACACCAGCGTGGCGGTGCGGTGGTCCACGGCGGCGGGAGCGAAGCACATGGCCGTAATCCCACCCTCGTGGGGGGCTGAGATGGTTGTGTCCAGCACAAAACTGGAGATGAGAAGGGAATTAAGGAACATTTCGACGGCACCTTTTTAAACCCCTTGTGTGACTGTCGGGTCAAATTGACCCAGGCTCCCAATGGAAACACAGTTAAAAGTGTTTTATCAATTCGAACCTACTTATTCTGTTTGTCTTAATCAATAAATTAAATCAACCTGTACAATGATAACGGTTCATTGGCGTGCGAACTTGTCCCAAACAGAGTGTTCACTTACTTGCAAAAGATGTATTCAACGCTGACGTTATTTTAAGTTGAAAGTGGAGATAAACTTTTTAGTTTGACAAATTTGTACGACAAAAAGCACAATTTCCTCCTAGCTAAGTTCAGCGAGCAATAACGCACTCATGAATGCCCCCCCAATTTCTGACAGTTCTGCATCATTCAACATACTTCTGGGTCATATCGACCCAGGCATATTATCGCCGTTCCTGAGAAACCGATGTTAACAGCAGGGTCCATTTGACCCACAAGGCAACAGAGGCCAAACCCATGCGTGACTGGCTTACCTTTGCGTTTGTTGGTCAAATGTCCAGAGTTTCAAACTAAGCTCCAACTCGGCCGCCTTGGGTTTCCTCTCTTCGACCGTCGCCAGCCGCTCTCCAGAGGAGTCGAAAGCCGCCTTCACCACTTCAACCTGCTGCAATCCCAGCTCGTGGATGTACTCTTGCTGCACAATATCCAACTAACGGGAAGGAAAGGCATCCGACATCACAACAGCAGCCAAATTGCGACGGGAGCCACGGAGCAAATGTTGAAAGTTCTTACGTTGAAAAGCAGCTTATCTCTTTGAAGGGAGTAAAACTGCAAGTGGCCTGGCTTCCCATTCAGGACAAGAGCTTTGCTGCGAGGGTCCACCATCAAGTCTGTGGTGACGCTTTCTCCTGCGCACGGAACCGCAAACCACGCGCAATGTCAAAGTCGGTTGATTGGCCGCGTGCAAGGAGCCGCACGCCGCAGCGTGAAGCCAAATCGAATCGATCTCAAAGAGAACTGTGCTCTATTGTCAAACTTGGAGCTACAACTACGTTTGCATGAATGACCAACCCGCGCAGATTCCAGCAAGCTGTTCTTGACTGGAGTTTGTTACTCACCTTTGACGAGGCCCTGAATGACGGCAGACACTTTGACGCAGCTCTTGATAATTGTGATTTCTAGAAAAGGGGAAAGTCACACGGTTAACGGCGGCTTACAGTCTTTTCCACTCATTACACAATGGGATAAAAGGTATCACGAATTCCCCATCGTGCAAAATTGCTTTCCGCACATTCAATATTTTTGGGTGTTTGCTCATTCAAAAATGTGTTTTAACAAGAAAAGTCAGCAAAAGAAAAAAACATTTCAACACATTTTCTGAACTATATTTCCCAGACTTTTAAACGGGCGAATTTGACCCGCAAACACAGTGAGAGCGCTTTGAGTAAGGCTGAAAAGACCAAACCCAAAATATATCTTACTGTTATCTGCGTGTGAGGTGCAGAACAGCGCGCCATCGGGCGAGACGGTGACATGTGTGATTGTGGCTCCGAGTCGGGGAAGAAAGTCCCGCTGGCTCTCCTGACCGTATTTCCACTGGACGAGCACAGACTCCACACCACCACTCAGTAGGTTGGTACCTGGTCATGAAAATTAGAATAAATTAAACAATTTTTCAGCAGCGCTACTGAGGGGTCACGTAGGAGCACACGTTTTCTAACTTGATGTATGACAAAAATGCCATTTTAAATATGGAAAAAATACGTACATAATCATTTTTTTAATGAACCTAGGTACATTATAGTATCATGCATCAATCCCAGAATAAAAAGATCCTGCCTTCAACAACTGGTTTGAACAAATACTCTCTTTTTTTTACAGTGCAAAGGCCTCTCGTGCATAAAAATGATCAAAGACGGCAGAACCTGCTGCAGGGCAGAGGAACAATAAACCCAAGAACTCATTTTATCACAGGAATCAACTTGCTCCAAATCTGACTATTATTCACATGCCATATTTGTCCCACATGTCATTTCAAATCTGCCCAAAAAATTATTAGGCCCACGCACATAGTACGGAGCAGTATTTTTACTTGTGAAAATGAATCAAAAGGGCCACTTCCGAGTGTTTTCGCATGGGGCCCGTGGGCAGCCAGCTGAGTAAACCAGTAAACCAGTCGTGCGGCGTACCTTCCGGAGTGAAGCACAGCGAGCTGACAGCATTGTGGTGCCAATGTAGTGTCAAATATGTGTACTCCTTCTTGTGGTTGAAGTTTCTCCTGGAGGATCAACGCAATAAGAAAAAATCAGAAATAAAAGAATGATTATGCTATCTGTACACCAATGTCAACCTTCCATCTCTACCATCATAAGCGACTCACCACAAGCGAATCTTTCCATCCTCGTGTCCGGTGGAAATGACGTCATCCTTCGGGTGACAGGCGATGCACGTGAATGTGTTTTTGCGTCCGTTTCCGCTGTTTTGCTTCAGGTAAAAGCTTTTGACAATTCAGCAAAGACAGTCAGACAGTGGACACCCCAAAGAGGTGTTCATCATGACACAGTCAGGAAAAGGAACTCACCTGAATGTCTTCTGCTTCCTGAAGAAAAAGACCACCAAACACAAACCCTTGACTGAAGCAATGTACTCCCCCTGTGACAACGAAATGTTTTGGTCGATGGATCATACGGAGGATATATACCGGCATTTAAAAAAAATAATAATTAAAAAAAAGTCTACACGTACATGTTTAAATGTACCAAATAGTTGTTTGCATGTGTGCTACCTATCAGATTTTGTGCCGATACTGAAGGAAAAAGAAAAAAGCCCCAAAGCAAAATACGGCCATCCATATGCTTCAATCTTTCTTCACCAATTTTGATGATCACAAGGCTGGCTGCGAGTCGGAGATCACATGCTATTTGGCACATCTGCTATCGCTTTCTGGTGGTATGCAATTGTGCCAAAATTCACCGCTCAACAGTTTGGACACACCAAAGTTTTGCACTAAGTTGTTTTGGTTTTAGTTTTTTTGGCATTTACTTGGTTTAGTAAGTCTAATCAAATGGTTCATTTCCCACCTCCTGCCTCCCCATACTACAAGTCTTTTACACTTCTTGATCCTGGTGGTATTTTAATGAAAGCCAGAGACATGTTATTGACACACCTGGCAATTCTTTTAAATTGCGTGATATGACTCTGAATTAACATGTCGTTCAAGAAGCAGCGCACACACCCCTCTGCCAAAGGCGATGGATTCCGGACTAGCTTTGACGTCTGGGAGCACGGCCGAAAGTTCGAGGCCCTCCGCTAGCTGATCCCCACTCTGAGGCAGATGTAGAGCCACTAGCTGGAACAGCTCTACAAAGAAACACACACATACACATACATTCATACCACTCGCGACCTCAGCTTTGATTTGTCTCTGGCACACCCTAGTGGTTCTTAGTGGTAATTAGAAAAGAAACAACTGAAATGTCCTGACTGTACGCTTAAATGAACGCTACTCGGATTTGACAGCTCCATACAGTATCTGAAAAGTAGGTGTGTGTGTGTGTGTGTGTGTGTGTGTGTGTGTGTGTGTGTGTGTGTGTGTGTGTGTGTGTTTGTGTGTGTGTGTGGTAAGTCATGATGCCGCTGGGTCACAAACGTCACAAAAACTGGTGAGTGACAAGTGCTGGCACGCTTAGGATAAATACATGATTTATTTATTTTTAATAGGATGGTGCGGGTCACATGTTGTGCATCTGAAGAATCGCCTACCCGTTCTTTTGTCAGGGACGACAATGAAGACAACTCCTTCGTGGTGTCCAGAGGCATAGATGGCATGAATTGGCTGTCCAACAAAGTAAGACTAGAAGAGAACAAAAATTAGTCAAGAGTGTCAGCACGTTAGCTTCAATTCTGGTCATGGGTCGATCAGACTTCTTTGTATACAGTACACCCAATTTTGTGTCAATCTGTAAAACTGTTGATGGGGCTTAATTGTTTCCAAAGCTTTCCAGTAAGCACTGCTGATGGTATCCCCCAAAATGGCTGCTTCAACCAACCACGACTGACTGCTCTTCAATTTTGGCCACTGACTGCTCTTCAATGTTGGCCAATGTGTCCATGGGACTTTTTGTGCATCCTGTTGTAGACATGGCAGCCCAATTTCATGTTGATGGCTGAAACTGGTTTCAGGGGCTATTATTTTCCTCATGGCCCAAAGAGACGACTTCTGGTTCCATTTTGGTCATGGGTTTTCCAGTTTGTCTAAATGTGCGCATCAAATAAATGGACAAAACAAACTAACAAAAAAATAAATAAATCACCTTCATGAGGATACCATCTGCAAAGTCCCAAAGCTTGACAGTGCCATCTGTAGAGCAAGAATAGACCTGCAACAACAGCACGGTTACAAAACTGTAACGAATAATAAACAATACGGTGTACAAACACCTCAAGTCTCCTGCTATGTTGCGGAAAAGTTCATCCTTTTTAAAGTAGCTTTTCTGCTTTAATGTCATCCACATATCCAATGGAAATGGTTCTTTTCACATATTCGTAGATTTTAAAAGTTTCAACTTGCACTAAAAAAAAAAAAGAAATTAATAATCGACCATCAACCATTAACTGAGAGGTAATTCATTAATGAGAGATACCTGAACTATATTAATATGTCACAGCTGAATATACCTGCAGGTGGTTGGAGGGCTTGAGCAGCACACCCGTGACCAGGTCGGTGTGTCCCCGCAGCTCATGAACACACTCCTCTGTGGTCGTGCTGTACACTTTAACACACTCTCCGGAAGCACACAGGAGGAACCTGCACTCACACCAAACACAGTATTTCGCGGATGACCAGTGATGATGCAATTGAATGGTTGAGGGGAATACAATGTCACTTGCATGAGACTAAGCAGCGGTGTAACAAGTGGAGTAAAAGTCGTGATTCTTAGGGTATTTTGACAAAATCGTGGATGAAGGCTGGTGCACTGCATGAGGCAGAAACGTCGTTGAAACAAATCCATTACACCATAACAAGAAGTATGTTGTCAAGCCACTGATTCTTTTTGATCTTTGGGTTATTTTGTATATTGTACGAAAGTATATCACCGAAATGTTCCTAAGAGGCACAGGGGCAGTTTTGAATTGTTAAAAATGAATATAAATATTGTAAGCATCTTTATGATGCTTAAGTATCAGTGACCCTTAGCCGAGCGCTGTAAAGGGATTTGTAATGCTAATTGCTAGTCCCGGCGTCTTTGTAAAACTTGACAACAGTGACGCTTGCTCGCCCACGCCCACGGACCGCGATCCAACGTGGAGCATCATGCACTTACTTGGAATCGCTTGTGATAACAGGCGCTCTAAAGTTGATTTTACTCCCGCCGCGGTGAACCACGCGGATATTTGCCATTTCCCACCTCCTGCCTCCCCATACTACAAGTCTTTTACACTTCTTGATCCTGGTGGTATTTTAATGAAAGCCAGAGACATGTTATTGACACACCTGGCAATTCTTTTAAATTGCGTGATATGACTCTGAATTAACATGTCGTTCAAGAAGCAGCGCACACACCCCTCTGCCAAAGGCGATGGATTCCGGACTAGCTTTGACGTCTGGGAGCACGGCCGAAAGTTCGAGGCCCTCCGCTAGCTGATCCCCACTCTGAGGCAGATGTAGAGCCAC